TCCATAAGTATCCGATAATTTATTCTAGCGATCATTCAGTTCACTTCGACACAGCAAGGTTTTTTCATCAATTTTTGAGTGCGTTTCAATTTCTATTTTCATTTTTGTTGTTTTTTTAATCGAATTTATTTATTTTTTTGTTTGTCAAAGATCAAAAAAATTCAAAAAAAGTTTTATTTTGTCGTTTTGCTATTGCTTTTGTTATAAAAATTAGAAACAAATGGTACAGTAGTTGGCTAATTTTGTTATGCTTTCTTTGTGTGTTTGTCGAAGTTACCTTTCTTTTTCCTGTGCTGTTTTTTGCAATTCTAATATTATAAAACAAAGAGGAAAAATTTTACAATTTAAAAATTATAAATAAATGAAAATTTTAAATTTTAAAACCATAAATATATGCTTGCGGATGAAGTTTGCTTTTAATCAGAATATTGATATTTGAAGTAGCATTAAGTCTAATTTGATTTTTTTCTTGTTCATTCAGTAAGAATTTTTGCTTTCTAAGTAATGATGCTTGATTTATTTTACATTTTCATTATATTTCATTTAGTGCCACAACAAATGTTGAGGTTTTTTTTTCTTTTAATAGAATATGGCTAATTAATGTTAATCGCTGACCTATGACTTATGACCTATGATCACCTATATATTACTTTTTATCATGCAGCTTTTGTAATGCATGAAACAGTATATGTCGCTTTTTTATCATTTTTTTTTAATAACCTAGTACTAGTAGGATAAATTTTTTTAACATAATTTTCATTTTCTTAAAATTAATTTTCAATTTTTAATAATATTAGTTCAGTTTACTAGTTGCTCCACTATTGTTATCAATAATTTTAGATCATATCTATCAGGTGATCTGATTTTAGATCATACCTGTCAACTGATCCAATTATTTAGCATTGTCACATATTATTAGCAGTGTGCATAAAAATTTACAGAACATTGGAAATTTTTTTCTGTTTGAAAATAATTTGTTAATTGAAATGACAATAAAAAAAGAAAAATTAATTGAAAAAATGATAATGTCAAAATTTTCGGTTTGATTTTTGTTACGCTATTATATTTCATCGTGTTAGTTTAATTGAAAATATCTTCCAACTTCTTTCAAAAAAAAAAAAAAAAAGAATGATTAGAGGATTTTTTTTACCATGCAATCTTTTGAATTTTCTGAAAATTTTTAAAATTTTATAAAAATTTTTATAGCTTTCGAACGGGAAACGATATGGCAAAAAAATAAGTGATACGCCATCAGTGGTTGAGCAAACATATGCGCAAGCGGATTCTGAAACCGGCGTTAGCAGTCATTTGAAAGCACCAACAATTATCAGTCGATGGCACGGTATGCATATTTGCTCGGTATTATTATTTCACTTAACAAATAACTTTATATCAAATATTTTAACAGAAAATGTAGACGTTATAATTTCATGAGAAGTTTTTTTATGCCAGAAATTTTTATGATATAAAATAGACAAGAAATGAGCAGAAAGGAAAAAAAAAAAGAAAAAGAAAGGATCGATAATTTCTTCTGTAATTTAATAATAATAAAATTAAATTATCCATTATCTGTAATACAATGATATATGTTTTGTTAGTGAATAAATATGAGATCAAAGAATAGAATGTTTTTATTTGATCATTCCGCATTCATTATTTCTTTTCTTATTAATTTATCCGTTGCTACATTCGTTATAAATTCATTTCCAATTTAATTGTTATTTTTTACTTTTGCACATTTTTTTTTTCTTTTTTCAGGCTCATTCGATGAATCTTATGGTGATTGTGAAGCAGCAACAAATGTTGACTGTTTGCGCATTGAAAAATCTGATAATAGTCGAAGTAAACATTCACCGCTAACTGGAAGGCATTGTTTAACAGCAGCTGTTCCATCATTTTGTATGTTTATATTTGTTGGAAATTTAAATTTTTTTCGAAATTTATTTTTAAATTATAATAGAGGATTGAAGAATTGATTGTTTTAGAACATTGAAACCAATTTTATTTTTTTCTTTTTTCTTTTTGTTTTTCAAGTAAAACTTAAAAATAATATTTTTTTAGTTTATTTTTATTGTAGCACGATCTAATGTACATACTACAAATATTATTACAACAACAACAGCAACAACAACAACAACAACAACAACAACTACTACTACTACTACTGTTACTACCAATGATGGTGCAAAAAATGTCAAACAAACATCAACTTCGAATTTACCTCCATATGCCGTTCGTTTATTTACAGCATCATCAACTCCCGAATCAGCTGCTGTACCTTTGGTGACACCTTCAATATCACCACAAATAGCTGTAACTCCTCCCGTTGCTCGAACATTATTTACCACTCCTCAAACTATCCCACCAACAAAAACAACCTTTCAACCATTGTTACATGCAATGGCACCAACAAGTTCAACTGTTCAATCAGCATCTGCTTCATTAATGATGCATTTCAAGAATCTTGTAAATGTAAGTTTATTATAGAATCAATCAGAATTAACAGACAAACCTTGAATGGATTCACAATTAGTGTAATCTAGAAGTTAGCATCGAAAATTAATAGATGAATCATGGAATTGGTATTGTTCAGAAGTTACACGTACTCCTTGAATAGATGTAAAAATGACAGATGAATCTTAGGTAGATTCAGAATTGATATGATCCAGAAGTTAATATCCAATATTAATAGATGAATTTTGGTCGGATCCAGAATTGATAGATTGTTATTGTTACTGATGCATAGGTTCAGAATTAATATCATTCAAAAGTAATTATTAAAAATCAATAAATGAATCTTAGATCGATTCGAAATTAATGTTATCAGAAGTAACAGTCAGAAGTATTTTGGACAGATCCAGAATTAACAAATGAATCTTTGGATAGATTCAGAATTATTGTCATCCAAAAATAACAGATAAATCTTGGATAAATTTAGAATTAATAGATTGTTGTTATTACTGGTGGATAAGATTCAGAATGGTAGGATGAGAGAGAAAGAAGAGAGAGAGAGAGAGAGAGAGAGAGAGAGGGAGTGAGAGTGAGATATTCAGAATTAATATCATTTAGAAGTAACAGGTGAAATTTTGAAGATTAGCAAAAATATTGTATTTTTGCATATTTTTCAACATTTTGATTATCTTATCCATAGATAACATAACAGGGTGAATGATATCCTTTTTTTTTTCTCAAAATTAAGCAACCAATTTAAAGATTTTATCCCCTTACAGGTATAAATTTATCATTATAAACTTTAATCAAATGTTATCCTTGCAGACATTCAATTCATTTACGAATAGCAGTGGCACTACTGGTGATATTCATCCATCATCGTCCAATATTTCTCATCGTCCGGATGGATCCAAACGCTTTTCATTAGATAATAATACACTTTCATTACAATTTCTACGTTCTGCTCCTGCTACACAATTAAACACTACTGATCATAATGTTAACAGTGATAAGAATAATGAAAATGCTACAAACCTAAATGATTCTAAAGTTAGTACTTTAATCAATGTAACCATAATGTTGATAGTGATAAGAATAATGAAAATGCTACAAACTTAAATGATTCTATTAAATTCATTAAAGTAAAGTTAGTACTTTAATGAATATAATCATAATGTTAATAGTGATAATGATGAAAATGCTACAAACTTAAATGATTCTAAAGTTAATATTTTAATGAAAGGAATAAAATTTCAATTAAATTATAGCATATTGTAATTATTACTTTTAATATCTCTTACTTTATTTTTAAATTACTATTTCCTTTTTTTTTTAATCGTAAAATAATATGAAATAAGATAATTTTGATAAAATTACTCATTATTTCTGTAACTCAATTCACTGCATCTTTTTAAGAGTAATAGTAACAGTAACACTGATCAGGAAAAAGAACTACGACGACAACGACGTTTACGGAGGCGATCTGTTTGTCAGGAAATGTTTCCAACAAATGAGGTTATTATTTTTAAAATGTACTTTTTGATGAAGATTTAATTAAATTAAAAAGATTTGATAAGAATAATATTTTGTAAGTACTGTTGTCCATCTTCTTTTTTTTAAATTTTACTATTTTTTTTTTTTTTACTAATTACTATTTGTTTAGTTGATGTGGAAAAATTTGGAAACAACTGAACAGAAAACCGGAAATATTTGTGGGACGGCAAGGGCAGTGAAGAAAAGTACGAGTGAAAAACATTTGTTTAATAATGGTATCGAAGTGACATCATCATCGGTTGAGAGAAATCAAGCTATGGAGGATGCTAAATGGCATATACTTAATTTAAGGTTATTTGATTCTTCATTTCAATTTTTAATCATTTAATTCCAAAATACAATTTTTAAACTTGAAATATACATCGAATTAAAATGAATGTAATATTTCTGGTAAATTTTTGTGCTTACATTGAATCTCTCATTCTTGATTTTTTAAATGATTTTTAAGAATATTAGATACATATGTTAAATTTATCACTGATATGATATCGTTTCTTAGAGAGTTAATAAGGGATATTTTTTTTTATCATATTAAAAACGTGTAATAATTTGGACGTTCACTGATAACTTAAAAATGCAAACAAACGTTTAATATATTCTTTCAAGCAATTTAATTTTTTAAATTTATTTTTTTTCAATTGTTTTTTCCGGTTATTTGATAGTGTTTCAGACGGAAAAGATATCAGTTTCTTGGTTTAACACCATCACCAACACATACAGCAATGCAATCTTGAAAAATTTGATTCGATGAATTGTGTGCCCTCTTGAAATATCAGTTTTTGCCTTTTTCGGTTGTTTGTATAAATTTTCTTTTTTAGTTATT